CCCAGAGCCCAGCCTTGCAGGAAGCCAGGCTCGCTGAAACGCGCACGTCCACGCCGACTCGCTCTAAGCGCAGCGGCCACTGTTGGGACAAGAAACAAAAACGTGACAGTGCTAGACTCCTTTCCTTAATGCACACGTAGGGGAGGGGGCGGGCCCGCCGTAAATCCGAAGCGGCGCATCGCCGGCGCGGTTGCTGCCAGTGGTCGCGCTGTGGCAGCGGCTCGCTTTGGCCCGCGCGCCTGCCCCTTCCCCTCCAGTCCAGCTCGGACGGCAACTGAAAAGCAGGAGAAGCCAAGTCCCCGGCGTTCCGCCCGCCTGCGCGCCCCTCTGCGCCCGCGGCGACGCTCCCCGTGGCGACCCGAGACGCAGACGCGCTGCGAGCGAATCCAGGCCACCCCTGCAGGCGGCCGCGCACCGAGTCAGCCTCGACACTTGCCGCATGTTGTGTCGATTGATTTTTTTTTTTTTAAAGAAGACCAAGCCAACTTTAATCTAAGAAAAGTGATTTTTAAAAATCAGGGAGCTTTAAAGCGAAACGGAGTTATAGATTCCAGTAACAATGCAGAGCGTAAGTTTCAATGTCTCTGCGTAGGCATTTTAATTTGCTACAGTCACTACCAATAAAAACGGCATGTAGTGCGATTCGACTGTTTAATAGTGCAAGGTAGACGGTTTTTATTAGTAGCAGGCAGCGGTATGGAAAATTTAGATTTCAGTGGAGGAGTGTAATTGCTGGGGGGAAAATACACTCAGGAAGAGGCAGTCTTTGGAATCAGCAACGCTGAGAAAAGAGGGAGGGAGAGCAGGCCACGTTCTGGAGATGCACCCTGGGCACTGGGAGACCCTCCAAAGTCACGTGCACCTGTCTGGTTAGGTACTTAATTGATGTCAAAATCGAGTGTATTCAGAGCATACGCTCCTGCTCCAAACTGGGGATGTTTTAGTAATAATTCGCTGTTTTCTTTTCTGCCCCTGGCAGAGATCAGGCAGGGGATGGGGGAAGAAGGAGGGGTGGGGGGAGGGCGCGAGCCCCAAATGCTAATGAAAGCACAGCAGGAACTGGCCTTCAGAAATGGAAATTGTCGAGGCCAGTCCTCCTTGGAGATAAAAATTAGACCTGATTTTTTTCACTTAAACTATTTAATTGGAAGTGAAGCGAAATGCTGCGGTCTGATCAGTCGCTGTCTATGTTTGTGATCCGAATGTGTGCCGGGCATCCGCAGCTTGTTTGGGGACGGATTCCCTCCTGAAAGACCAAAATGTCACAGAGCCTGCCACCGGCGTGCTCCGCGGGGCTGCCGGGGCCTCTCTCCCCCTCTCTCTTTTTCTTTTGCACTCTACAAGAATTGATTGAAAATATCAGCCCTGCGCTGAATCCGGAGGTCCCACTTGAGGTCGAAGCATTGTTGGAACCCCCTGCTGAGTCCTGGCAGTCTCCCAGAGTGAGTGGGAAATGGTGTGGGGGGGGGAGGGAGGATTTTGCTTAGGGGTGATGTGAAGGTTGGTGGTTGCGGGGTGCGGGGCTGTGGTCTGCAGGAAGAGTGGTGGGCGGGACAATGGGGGCTGGAGGGGGAGGCCTGGTGAAGGATGAGCGATTTGGGGGGCTAGTGTGAGCCACGGGACTGCACCTACCACGAGAGACAGGCCTCCAGGCCTCCGAGGATGGTTCTTCGCAAGCCCAACACTGCAATTTGCAGCTGCTTGCCTTGGACCTGGGGGAAGACAGATGCATCCTGACTGTGCTTTAAGGTTGGTGTGTGACGGGGCAGCAGCTTGAGCCTCGGGATCCAGCGCTGCAGCCTCTCACCGCCTACGGAAACGGGATAAATAAGGCTGTTCTGCGAGCTTCAGAGCCCACAGGGCTGGGGATGGAGGGGAGAGGGGTACTGGGAAAAGGGAGGTGTGGGGGGAGGGAAAGGGAGCTGCAGGCCTCAGCTGCCACCTAAGGCATTCTTCCCGTACAAGTCACCCACGGGAGACCGCCTCGGAGGCATAGGCACCTGTTGGGTGGGCGCCCCCGCCTGGCCCGCACGCACCAGACCCCCTGTAGGCCCCCTGAGAGCGCTTGGTCTGTGACGCCCCCCCCCACTCTTCTGCCGGACCCCGTAGGGGAGTGATGGGGAGTGGGGATTTTCGGGTGTTGGTTCCCAGGGTCCGTTACGAAGCATCTCTTCCCTAGGCCCCACGAGGCATCACCCGAGCTGCGTGTTACCTGAGCTACCTGCGCCGCACACTGCGCCCTTGCCACCAGCCCTGTGCTTCCCCGTCCACGGCGGGGCTTCACGTCGTGCCAGAGGACGTCTGTCTGTCCAGCGACAGTCATTCCCCTGAGTATTTTACAACACAAATGCGAAAGAGGAGTCAACTTATTAAAACAAAAAAGCGCTTCGGGGGCGGAGGCGAAGCGCTGGCAGAGAGCGCTAAACCAGTCCCAGGAGCGGTCGGTACGACCGGCACGGGGGGCCGGGGCTCCGTCCCGGACTCTGGGGCGGAAGGCTCACCTCAGGGCCCTCGTGGCAGCTCGCTGCGAAGACGCCCCGGAACTGGGTCTCGCGGGGACACTCTGGGCGGCGCGGGGCAGGCGACCAGACGCGAGGCCTCGTGTGGCATCTCTCACTGTGAGACAGTAGACCGAGGAAGGTGGAAGGGAGAGCCGCGCGCGCCACCCCCAGGACGACCCGGCCGCCGGTGCAACACCCCTCACCCCGCCGCCACCCCCCGCCCTCCCTTAGCTGCCGGCGGAGACACCGGGGTCGGGCGCGCAGTCCCCTGGGCCGGCCCGTTACCGATGAACAGGGGGCTTGGCTTGTTTGTCCCCGGAGTGGACCAGCCCGGCCCGACTGCGAGCGGCCTCTGGCTGGTCCTCCCGGGCCGAGCTGGGGGGCGGGGCAGCGGCTGGGGTGGGGTG